CTATGAATTTGTGTCCTAAACGTCATTAACATCGTCAATCTAAAAAGCTTGTATACAGCTGTTTTTGTAATAAACACAAATAACAAACGTTAAGGATTGAAAAAGGCGTACTTTGCGTTTATAATGACGTTATAAAGCGTACAAGATTGTAGTATAAAAGTATTAAACATGTTGAAACCAATTTCATTAATTTTGGAAAAGGTTATGAAGTTCAAATCGAGGAATGAAATTTAAATGTAGAAGATTTCAAAACGTTTTAGCCAGGCAAAAAAGGCATAACGTTTGGATTGGTTAAGTTGAATGCATTCAGAGATACTGCAGAAGAGCTTTGCGTTTTTTTCAACAGACAATAATGAGTAAAATGTGGCATTGATGATAGAGGAAATGCTTGTTTGATGTGTAGTACATTGACTATTGGATACAGAATATTGATAGTCAAAGGTATTAACTACCACGTTTTATATTTTACAACCGTTACGATACTAATAAAGTAAGAATTGCAGAGAAAATTTGCTGATCTGATAATGAACAACATTTAAACAAGTATTAAACATTTTGAATAACCCTGGTTTTTTTGCATCCTTTTTAGGTTTAAGACGTGATTTTAAGATATTTGAAAAAGCTAATATTTTAGTAAACGTTGCAGCAAAACATATGACATGCGATATATGGTATGAGATATGTGATAAGATCATATGATATGAAAGATATGAGATACTTGCAAAGCGCTACACTTTGAAATATGTTTTCTTTGTTCATACAACTAAAAACTTATTATTTCTTATCTTCTGCGCTTTATTTGTCCCTCAGATAAATCTTTTAACCAATATTGCAAATATTATTAAGAAGCAAGCGCTGATAGTAACAGGGATAATGCCCTTAAACACTACAGCATTGACATATGGTGGGCATAATGGCAGGAACTATCCATTCCAGATGCATTAGTCAGCTACCGGTTTTTTTCCGTCACACAATAATATAACATGCTTTTGGAAAGCAAGCACGTCCGCTCAATCAAATGAAATATTGATATTACGCTAAATTACTAACAAAGCTTATGATTTAACAATTTAATTTAAACTTGTTCATTTTCATGTATTTGTTCATGTACTTAAAGGTTTTATTGAAAAATTTAGCTTCTTTGATTTTAACACTGAATAGTAACATTTAGACGATTTCGCCAACTTATGCTGAGTAAACACTACTTCTGTTTATAAAGGTGTATCTTGGAAATTATTCAACTTGAGAGCTGATTCTTTTTATAAGTGTTTGGTTGTTAACCGAAAATGTGACCAAAAATTAAAAAAATACCCCCGCCGCAGCAAACCTGCCGACTAAGCGAATTTCCATTTGTCTGAATTGATTTTCAGTTAAATATATTTTAATAACATTAGGTTTAACGAGTACCTAGGTTTGCTGCTACAAGGAAACTAATAAAGTGTGTTTTTGAGTAAAATATTGATAGCTTAGTACAAAATAAATAAATTTGCCAAGTTTGATCAAAATATATCCATAAACAAGCAAACTACAACATTTGACAATATTCTCCATAAGAATAACATGGGAATTTTAAATTTACAATTTTTTAAATTTTCTCCGTTACTAATAATGGAACAAAAATTCTTTCATATACTAAAATGTTTGTTTTTTTAGGCTCTTTAAAAAGGTCTAAAGAGAAAACGGGAAATTTTGTGTTTTGAGGGTCAAAAGTGAGAAAAACCATATTTTACCCCATAAAACCCCCCGTAAAGCCCCGTTCCCAATTCCCATGGTCCGATCGCGCTGGTTCGCAAACTCATTCAAGTTTATCCCGCTTTACACCTTTAAACCAAATTTCATCAAAATCGGACAAAAGTTACTCAAGTTATCGCGTTCACGGACGTATATATATATATATATATAAGTCTATATATATATATATATATATATATAAGTCTATATATATATACATATATAAAAATTTGAACGAATGGTGTTTTTGGCCTCTGGGGACATCAAAATGAAAAAGTAAATCGGTCCCGGGTCTAGGTCTTACCGTGCCACCTACGGTAATAGCTACTTCCCTATAGGGAAATTCGCTAAAAACATTGTAAAAGTTATGATAGCGATGTTGTAATTTTATAAAATTGTTGGCTGTTTTTTACCAAAGAAAAAATATACTAGTTTACATTAATAGTATTATTATTTAATTCGGGTAACTATATATTTTGGTAATACTTATAATTTAGAATATAAAGTTCCATTTAGCATTAATCCGAATCACAAGGAAAAACTAAATCAATCATCATTTCAGGTCAATAGTTAATAAATTATTTTTTAGTTTGGCAATCTATTTTAGTTTACGATGTTTAATCACACTGATTAAACTAATCTACTTTCTCATTTATTTATCCTTTCAGGGGTTGGATGGAAAATTATTGTTTTCAACAGGTCAGTTACTTTTTTATCATGGCTGAAGAGTGCGTCTTATATTGACAACTTGTTGGGTTTGGCATAAATCAAAAATATAGACGACTTGAGATGAAGACCGAAGAGGTGTTTTTGTATTATTCTATAAAGTTGGATTCTAAAACATTGAAGAACTTTTAGTTTAGTTTCTTCAAAACTGAATTAATTAAATTTGGCCTCGTTGTTAATATTGAAGTATTTTATTTTAATAACGGAAAGAAGTTCAGACGCGCTAATCAATCGGCTATCTTCGAAAGCTGGTTTATTGTACTCTCTCTTTTGTAAAAATGTCTTTGATTTGTAATTTGCGTCAAAGTATATTTTATTCAAAGCTGTTTCAGAACTTGACAGTCGAATCTTTCTTTTTAATAAGCTAGATTGAGTTGTAATTATTTATCTTTGTAGGCTACACTCAGTTGATATTGTATTAAATTGTTTTAATTATTCGAAAGCTATTTGATTGTTCATAAAAATATAACACGGTCCCAAAGAGAAGTAAATTGTACAATAGGCCCTAATATCACTTAAAACTAGTTGCCATGTTTTTGACTATATATTGCATGTCTTATGTGTTATGCATGTAATACAGATGGGCGTTTGAAAAACAAATGGACATATTGTCTAGTAAAACATCCTAACTAACTATACTCATAATGCTTATATTACAGAACGTTAATTCAAAATCCGAATAAGTATTACATTTTACTGAATCCCACAAACAATCTATAAATTCTTAGTTCAATCATTGATTGAATAAAGTTGATCATTGATTATACACAATAGTAAGCCCTAATATAGTGAATGGTTTCATCAAGGTTTGGCTTTTACCAACACTAAACAATATTTCGTTTGCTTGGAACAAGTGACACACAAATGCTTCACTGTTTTACTGTTACTCAACTGTCAACGAATATACAAAACAATAAAGTACATAGTAGGACCATTGTTTCTAGGAATTGTTTTTTTTGTTTTGTTTTGAGCTTGACCCAGCCTTTGCTTGTTTTACGGTTCCATAACCTGTGACAACAGACAAAACAGAACACAAAGGATTATTTTGTTTAACCGTTAGTAGGCCTTTGAAGTTCTGTGACAGAAGCCTGAAAAATGAATCGAGGGAGATAACTTGAATATTTATTGTTAACTCTGTATACACATGTTGTAGTCATGTTATAGAGTAATACTTTTATCAACCACTATGCGTTTTTATACTAAACTATTATTGATCGATACATTATTTTATGACGGGAAGTGTTGTGTGTTCAGTAAAAAATTGAAGACATATTGTATTTATATTCTTAAATCTTTGTGAGGGTTTTATTTTACTCAAGATTATTTACAGTACTAAAGGTATACGCCAAACCATGATACAAATGCCAAACCCAAGTAACAAAATTTTATTTGAAGTTTTAAACGAACCACAAATGTTTTTAGAACGAAGCCTGGCATAAAATATTATTTTAGGCTAAAACTAATACAAGTAAACAAATGTAGAGGAAACCCTTAGAGAAGTTTTGTTATCCTTGTGCGCTCAAACCTTACTCGTATTATGGAATAGGATAGGATAGTGAACTAGAGATATATATAAAAAAAATATAACAAAACAAGGCTGTAAAAATAAATAACTAAGCTCATAGAAGACTACAGATTGATCAGATTATGTAGTTTAACCATTAGACTTGTCATCCCATTGTAAATTTTGACGCACGTTTTTCGTGTCTAGTTCATGTACGGTGACACTGAGCGCTAGTGTCGACGAAATTTTGTTTCTATTATTTTAAGGATAATTTCTTGATTTGTGCTTTACTTTTTGGTTATATAACTAGGAGATAAGTTGTTGTTTATGATTAGATCGTATTATTTGTTTAAACGAGGTTTTAAATGACTGTATTGACAGTAAACAAATTGTAAACAAAACACGACCTCTACATAAACCGTACAGAACTAACAATAAAATTGTCTTCAGCTGTTCTATAAGGATGAGAAATCTACTTGGGGGAGTATGTTTTATGTTCTATCTATGGTTCAACGCAACCAACTAGTTTGTAAATAAGTTAGTTGTTTTTGAACAATTCGTTTAATATGAGGGTCAAATACAAGAGTCTGCTAGGATGAACTCCCTACACCTTTTTTATTATACATACAGGAATTTAGTAAAACAACAATAGGCTATCAAGAGAATGCTATAGAACTGCAGTAACATATTTTGAGCTTTTGTTTATTCATATTTATTTATTTATTTACAATGAACAGCTGTGGTAAAATAGTATGATATTAGTATCGGACATAATGTATGTAAATGGCTGCAGCATTCAATAGTCTGTCAACTGTTACAACTCAAAGAAACTTTTTGATAGACTTAGCGTCTGCTATCTGAAGTGAAAGGTAAAACTCACACCACAGTTAAACATAGATACTTTATTAGCCAAGATCCCAAAAGTAAGTCTTCAAGCTCAAAACAACAATACAATAAAAACAAACATCAAATATGCAACATATGATAGCAATTATAAAAATACCAAACAGCACATCTTCTCTTTTCTCTTTTTTTTAGTTTATTTGTAAAAATCTGAATCACTGTATCTAAGAGGTGGTTTTACACTTCTTTTAGGTCTGTCATTTTCATTGCTATAGTAATTATGTCCAGCATCAGTTTCAGTTCCTTGGTCTTCTTGGTATTGAGGTGGTTTTACACTTCTTTTAGGTCTGTCATTTTCATTGCTATTGTAATTATGTCCAGCATCAGTTTCAGTTCCTTGGTCTTCTTGGTATTGGTGTTCAAATCTATTTCCACCATTTTCAATAGGCCTATGCACAGCTATTATATGTCTCCTGTTCCTTCTGATCTTCCCTGCCTGTGTATTTATCAGGTAGGACCGAGGATGATTTGATTTATTCTCAACATGTCCATAACGTTTTAAATCTGGAATCCAAACTTTGTCATTTTGATCAAGCTGTGAGAGATCTCTTACACCTTTCCTTACATCGTAGTTTCTCTTATTTCTTTCCTTGATTGAAAAATCCTTCTCTTTAAACTTTTGCAATCTTTCCCTTGTTACCTGTCTGAAGTTATTTATTGACGGTAATGTTGATCGGAGCTTCCGTGAATAAAGTAACTCTGCAGGTGAAAGACCAGACTCTAAGGGTGTATTTCTATATTCTAACAATCCAAGATTTGGATCACTACATTTCGTTAGAATCCGCTTCGCTATGTCAACTGCTTTTTCTGCTTCTCCGTTTGATTGTGGATACCTTGGGCTTGATGTCACTATACGGAAACCATATTCTTCAGAAAAATTTTTAAAATCCTGAGAAGTAAATTGCGGACCTCCATCAGCTCTTACCACATATGGTACTCCATGTCGAGCAAATATATTTTTCAATCTAGCAACCACAGCTCCAGTAGTCAATGCATCCACATAAACCAGTTCAAGAAATCTAGAATAGTAATCTTGCACAACTAAATACCATTTTGCATTACATTTCAAAAGGTCAATACCTAAAGACTCCCAGGGATTTTTTGGTAGTTCAGTCAACAGTAATGGTTCTGATTTGTTACTTCTTTGCTCCAAGCAAACTGGACAATTTGTTACAAGTGTAGCAATATCTGTTGAGCAGCCAGGCCACCACACCGATTCATACACTCGCCTTCGACATTTGACAATTCCCATGTGACCTTCATGTATTTTACTCAGTATTTCCTTTCTCAACGATTTTGGAATAAACAGTCTGGTGCCTAAAAGGAGGAATCCTTTACTGATGTTTAGATCAGTCCTGTACTTCCAATACACCGAATTTTTATTCCAATTGTTATTCACAATCCAGGATTTAATTCTTCCGCATTCCTCATCAGTATCCTGAGCTTCTTTGATTTCCTTGAGCCTTTTGTCAGAACAAGGAATAGCATCTATAATACTCTGAACAAACAAATCTTGTTCCAATATGTCTTCATGTTCTTCATTTGACTTAATGGGGTTCCTAGACAAAACATCTGGTACATAAAATTCCTTTCCTTTCACATATGTTACTTTATATCTAAAACAAGCCATTCTCATTCTTAACCGCTGAAGTCTTGCCGATAAACTAGCGATTTGTTTACTTCCAAGCACCTGAACTAAAGGTTTATGGTCAGTCATAAGTTCAAACTCTGTTCCTAAAACATACTGTGAAAATCTCTCACATGCCCAAGTCAGTGCCAGTGCCTCCTTTTCTATCTGAGCATAACGCATCTCTGTCGGTGATAAAGATCTCGATGCATAGGTGATTGGTTTCCACTTTCCATCCACAAATTGTTCAATCACCCCTCCTAGGCCAAATGACGAGGCATCAGCTGCAACTCTGGTTTTACGATTTTTGTTGTAAGACACCAGAACTGGATTTGAAGAAATTAGGGATTTAATTTTATCCCAAGCACTCTTTTGAACGTCAGACCAAACCCACTGATAACCTTTCTTAAGTAAAATTCGCAATGGAGCTGTAACTTCAGCCAAGTTAGGAATAAACTTCATCAAATAATTAACCATGCCAAGAAATTGCCGAAGCTCGTTAACATTATTTGGGGTTTGCATTTTCATAATGGCCTCCACTTTCTCAGGATCAGGCTTTATCAATCCATTTTCAATCAAATGTCCTAGAAATCTAACTCTGTTCACATTAATGTTACATTTATCTTTATTAAGTGTAACATTGTGTTCTCTCAATCTTTGTAATACATTTGCTAGTCGATGGTCATGTTCTTCCTGTGTTCTACCGACCACAAGTATATCATCTGCTTGGTTTACTACCCCATCCAGTCCATCCAAAACTTGGTATATCCTCTTCTGGTAAACCTCTGGGCCAGAATTAATACCGAATGGTAACCTCTTGAAAAAGAATCGCCCAAAAGGAGTTATAAAAGTCGTAAGCTTGTAACTTTCATGATGTAAGGGAATTTGAAGAAATCCATTTGTAGCGTCTAGTAATGAAAATATTTGTCCGCCTTCTAATTTACTTAGACTTTCTTCTACAGTTGGTAGTTGCCACCTTTCTCTCTGAATGCTTTTGTTGAGTTCGGTATAATCAACACATAGCCTCACTCTATCACCTGTCTTACGCGGTACAACAACAATTGGTGCACACCAGTCTGTTGGTTCTACCACTGGCTCAATTATTCCCTCAGAATGCAGTCGATCCAATTCTTCTTTGACTTTGCTCAATAATGGAGCGGACACTCTACGAGGGGCTGCCACAGCAAAGGGACGAGCATTTTGTGTTAGTGCAATTCTGTAGTTTTCCCCTTTCATTTCGCCAATAGAACCAAAAACATCAGAAAACTGAGAAAATATTTGGTTAGAGAAAATCGAATCTATGTCGAACTGAATTAGGTTTAATTTCAACATTGCATTTCTACTTAAAAGTGGAGTAGGTTGTTGCTCTATGACGTAAATATCTTCTACAATAGATTTATTTCTAAAAACCAAAGTAGCAACGATCTTACCAACCACTTTCAACCTAGTTTTCCCCGGACCAAATAATATTTTACTTGTTTCACTCGTTTCCAGTTTTAATTCCTTGCAAAGATCATATCCAATTATAGAAACATCTGCTCCAGTGTCCAACTTAAAATAAATATCATGCCCCTTGACATTAAGTTTTACTTTACAAGGATTTTGTCCTCCAACCTCTTCTATGGTCAATTCCCCTAAATAGGTTTTAGGTTTTTCTAATGGTTCATTACTTTTATTAATTTCTCTCACTTCAAATCCTTTGGTACAACATCTCACATAGTGTCCCTTTATTCCACATCTAAAACATGTAGACTGATTGGCAGGACAATCATTGCTATTGTGATGACCAACAAATCCACATTTGTTACATTTACCTTTCTTTGAAAAGCTTTGATCTTGACTTTTATTGCAAGAACTGTCCCTAAACCGATGTTTAGTGGATTGATTAATCCCCTTATTGACAAACTCAATTTCTGGTGATTCCCTCACTACTTTTTGTTGTTGTTTTAAACTCTCTGCTTGTCTTGCTTTCAAAATTGCTGTACTTAAAGTTAATTTTTCATCCAACTGTAAATTTTGAGAAAGTTTATCATCATTTACCCCAATTACTATCAAATCTCTAATTAGTTCATCTTTTAATTCCCCAAGTTTACATCGCTCTGCCAGTTTGTGTAAACTATTTATAAAAGAATCAACAGGTTCCCCCTCAGACTGACGTCTTTTTAGAAATTTAGCTCTCTCATATACAATATTGATTTTGAAACCTAAGTAAGACTCAAATCTACCCTTGACAGTGTCATAACTCTGTAATTCTTCATCTTTTAATCCGAAAGATGTTAGAAGGTCTTCTCCTTCATCTCCTAGACAGTATAAAAGCATATTAACCTGATTTTCCCCACTCTTACTGTCTAATCCTGAAGCTAATCTAAACCTTTCAAATTTTCTTATCCATCTAGGCCATTCAGAAGGTTCCCTGAAATTGAAAGGTTCAGGTGTGACAAGTTGGTATTGAACTGTACTAATTGTACTACTCACTGCTTCAGCCATGCTTAGTTCTTTCTTCTCCACAAAAGTTTATTTAACCTGACACCATGAAGTGAAAGGTAAAACTCACACCACAGTTAAACATAGATACTTTATTAGCCAAGATCCCAAAAGTAAGTCTTCAAGCTCAAAACAACAATACAATAAAAACAAACATCAAATATGCAACATATGATAGCAATTATAAAAATACCAAACAGCACACTATCTGTAAACGAGTAATAAATACTCATTGATAGAATTGAAACAGTATATTGTAGCTAATATAGACAACGCAGAGTGATGGTTTCTGAAAATTGATAGTCTTAATTTCCTTTTTTAATTCGTACTATATAAATTCAAGCAATGATACAATTAATCCACAATATGCATCACACAATAATATCACAATATCAAACAATATTTAAAGAAGAAAGATTTAATCTAAACAATCTCTGCATTGTTAATATATTTGCCTACCTTTTAATTTAATCTGGAGGTCGTCCAGCGCTCAAAAACTTGAGCAAAAGTATATACAGACTTCTCTATTTTTTTCACCCCACATTGTAAATAAAACATGTAATTAGAATTTCTTCTATTTGTTTTGATTTTTTGTTTGTATTTCGTTGTTATTTCGTGACCAGCATAGCAACCCAAAATGCCCATGTTATTTTTTTATTTAAAAATATTTTTTGTGCTTATTTTTGAGTCTATGTTAATCTATAAAGTGATTCTGCATATCTACAGGAAAATATCTTTCCAACGGTATGCGTAGATTTCCCCTGCGATGTACACGAGTAGAGAAAATAGGTTTTAAAGAAACTAGTGAACCTGTGCGGCTCAATGCCCCGCAAAATAACATATGAATTTAGAAAACAAATTCGTCGTATTATATATTGACTCGACAACAAAAATTAAACAGTAATAATGAAGCCTCGGAAGGGAAGCAGTCCACCCATTTTCTAGCTGTATGTGTATTATATTTAGTAAATTAATAAGTGTTCAAGTTCAAGTATGTTATAGGCAGCGAGCAAGGTTATAGTTAAAGATTTTTAAAACATTTTATGTTTGTGTAATAACATTATTCACATGAAGTAGATGATTTGTTTGATTTGTCGATCAGCTGTTTAGTTTCAAATGAATTAATAATGTCAAATATTTGTGATTTAAATACATAAATTATTATTGTAAAGTTTTCTAAATCATGGTAACTTATTCTCCACTAAATTTTACTATTCCCAGCATTAAAATAAAGTAGTAAGATCTATTATGGGTAAACTTTAAGGTACACAATCCTTGATTGAAATGTAGTAGGTATACATTAAGAGTCATAATACACAGCAATTATTATGTAGTAGACTTTGACTATTTTCAAGTAACAAACATATGTTTCTGTAAATAAAAATTATCTCCATGTTATCCTTATGGAGAAATACGAAACTTTAAAGGGTTCCAGGGCCTCAATCTCTCATTATTTCCCTAAAAAGAAAGTTTCCTGCACAACTTCACGTTACCCTCTTTCCAATGACACCAAAAACATGTCAATCGGTTCAGTAGTTTCGGAGGAGTAATTGTCACAAAAAACCTGTTTGCGTATTAAATAAGTATAGATATGCTTGCCTATTAATATATAGATACTAAAAATATCTGTATTGTTGAAAAAATAAAATAAATTTCAAATATTTTATCCTTTATCAAATCTCTTTTCGTCTGTTCTATGGTTAAACCATTGACTATTGGGTACTGAAGTAGACTTCCCATCTATATGGACCAGCTGTAGCCAATTTTTAATTGAAAAAGAATGTAGTTTTGTGAGGTAGTCACAGAATGAGCTAGTGTCTAAAATTCTATTTTATACCTTATTTCTTGTTGCTGACCGGGTTGATGGGTCATAACAGTTGCTATAACCATAACTCATCATAAGTCATTCCCTAAATTTGAATTAGTTAAAATGAATTTTGATCAGTGCAATCTGTAGGTGGCTGAGATCAACTACGACAGTTTTGATAAAACATTTGTTACAAATTTAAAATGGGGATGGATTTTAACAAAAAAGTGTCTATAATTATTTTTGTGTACGCATCGCAACAACATAAAACATTGCATTTAACCTGGTTTTACTAGCATGTGATTCTAGATCAGTGTCCCTAACAACCTACACAGTACAGTAAAGTGACTTGATTGGTTATGGAAAGTCAACATTTTTCCACAACCAGCAACGATTTAAGGAATGAGACGTGATTCGGTTATTGTATTTGCAGTGTGAAACTGGCACAAAAACAACAGTACTATTTTATGCAGTTACATTAGAAGAACCAAAATAAGACGAGAACTTGTTTTGTTCAAACAACACGCAAAGAATACAAATGAACCATAATTTGCATTTACACAAAGTCTGGTTCCTCAGAAACAATATGAAGCTTTTCATGCTAACAAGCAAAAATGTTTAAATGACTTTACATTAATGTTTTTACTTTTCCCCCTATACATAGTAAATGGAGAAAGTATTGTTCCGTTAAAACTTTCGAGTTTTTAGTTTTGAGTGTATATATCAGTTTTAGATCCCCCTGAGCCCAAAAAGGGGTTTCGAAGTGATGACGGTATTAAAAAGTATAATCTAAGATGAATTAGAATAAATGTAGAACTGGTATTGACTAAAACAGTGCACAACGAGTAATGAACAAAGTTCAAAAGCTAATCCACCCGTGTGGATTATTATCCTCATTAATGATTACTGCCAATACCAGTAGAATATTTAGTTCACATTCATAGGTAATATAATGGACAGTGCCTATGTTTTGGGTGCCTATATAATACATTGCATCATGGTATAGTTTATTTTATTTGATGAGATACTAGTATAATTTTGTTTACGGATATACAGTTACATTTATTTGATATAAATGTTAATAAGTACTACTTTAGATTTATAAAATGGAAAATATCGTAAAATCAACAACTTACGTTTTCACCAAAGTCTGTTTAAATAAAAGCATTATCCTAGTAAAGATACATTATTTGTTAAAATCTCCATGCTTTTAAGGCTGGTGTGTATATATTTGAATCCTTGCAAAATTCAGGGTGTAGATGTAATTGAACATGTATTCCAGTATATGAAAAGTAACTGCACTGAATTTTTTTAGCAGTTCTTATATTTTTAACCATAACTATTTTCAAACCGAGTAAAAAAATGCAGGTCTTCGTTTTTGTTTTTGTTATAAGAATTTTATAATGTAGTGGTTTCTGACACATGATATTAGTGCTATAACATGTTTTACCGGTTGTTGTGGTATGTGAACACGAAGCAACAGATAAAATTTTGGACAGTTACAGGCGTGTTGTTCCGTATAGCAATGAATAATATTAGTACGTAGGCCTATATTGAACTAATCATAAGCTTATTAGTTTTGAACAGTTCTTTGGCTGAACTCTTCTTATTATCTTTCCGAGAGCGAAATAACTTATTTTATTTAACACAATCTTGTAAATGTCATTGGCCATAAATATACATTGTATTAGCAAAAACTAGGCTCCAATTTTCATAATCTAATCAATTTATCTTCATTTTGCACGGAAAATCTGTACATAGTGTCACAAGGGTTTTAAAACAGAAGAATACAAATAAAACTACAATCTAAAAAATAATAAAACATTATAATTTAACTTCAAAGATGTCCATTTAAACGAGGGTAGGAAGGAGGCATTAAATTTCGTTTAGTTCAGTTGAATTGATAACTCTTAGAGCAATCTCGTCTGGCTGATCCAATTTCACA